ATGGTTGGTTTCCAGGTCCTCTCTGCTCATGACACTTGTGTTTCCTAATACCTAGTGCCTGCTCCTACACATTTTATTCCTTGTAAGCCTTCAAAATATGCTAAGTGCTTCAAACTTAAAAGGAGATTTACATAGCTGTTTGCTCTATGCCTTTAAGTGATAAAACTACTTTTAAAAAATTTGTTAAGTATGAGAGTATAAGCAATAGCATACATAGAAAGAGGTTTGAATGGAGTTTAACGAAACTTACTTCTCTCTTCTCACACATCTCTTGTTCCCATTTTGTTTCCTAGGTACATTCTAGAAATTTGTACACATGCATGTGCACATGTGCGCGCGCGCRCRCRCACACACACACACACACACACACACTTTTAGATATCTTCAATATCACAAATATACTCCTTGAACTCTACTGTCCATTGAATGCAAACCATGAGGAAGTCACCACTGAGATCAGAATTGGATAAAGTACAATTTTGCTCCAAATGCACCATACAACTTGTCTCTCTGACTATAGCTTCTCCCTGTCCCAATCCATCCAGACAGGCTGCCATGGCTATTTTCCTAAAGTACTGCTTTCTACATGTCTCTGCTCCAGGAGTCAATAATGTTTCCTATAATCAATTTCTCAATTTCTCTGGCTAAGTTTCTGAGCTTTTTAATCATGCTGTTCAATTTATTAAAATATCTAATAGTGTTCCTAACATTATTAATAATTACAAATCTTAAATGTGAATGCTTACCTGCAGAAAGGTCAATTTTATCTTTTTCCCCTGAGAAATATCACAACTCAGTCCCATCTCCTGGACATTTGCTTATGTTGTTTCACTTGAGGATCTTTTCYCCTCTTCAGCTCAGGGAATGTTCCTATACATTATACCTAAACCATGCATGGCATGGGTAAGAAAACTGTGCCTACCAGGATTAAATGATTTCCTACAAGGCTCATGCCTATTTTCTGAAAGTGATAGAAATAACTTTTACCCTGGACCACTAGTTTTTGCTTTACCCTACATTTCATTAAAATCAATTCCAGATATGTTAACAAGCAGCCATGAAGAAAAGAGTTAAGTGTGGTAAATGCATTAGTTTATTGGGTTTCTTCATTGTTACTGTGTGTAAGTACAAGTAACACAAGAAAGTAATCACAGTTCATTCTGGAGTGGGTAGACTGGGGTGCTGAGGAGTCCTCTGGTGCAGCATCTGAGTTAAGCAAACTGGATGAGTGACTCTCCACCTTCTGCTCTGTAATGGGGCCAGTGATACTTGCCTTGCACACTTGAGTGGAGAGGGAGAATTTTTTGTCCACTCAGAGAAAGAGAGCTTTCATTTGGGATCACAATGACCTGTTTTCCCTTTCTTCTTATCCCTGTTATCAATATAAAGTATGAAAATGAAATAATATTGTAAATTATTTGGTAAAGGGAGAATGTCCAATGCATTTAGCCTTACTTACTCAGTAAYTCAATCCCTCCAATACTGACTTAAGCCAATGAACTCCTTCACTCAAACCTGCTCCATGTCCTTCTCCCCACAACCTGCTTGCTCCCACTTCCTGCTTTTTCACCCCTGCCCTAATCCAGTCTTCCTGCCTATGTGAAGTTTTTGTAAACCATCTTCTCTGTCAGGATACTCATTGTTTTCATTCCTTTATTCTCTAAAACTGAACTTGTATCTCAATAACTTCCTCCCCTTGTCATCATGTTCTGGCTATGATGCTCAATATACCTGGATACAGGTACATATTTCAAAGCCCTTCTTCTACTCCTACCAAGGCCCCTACTCTCTACAGCTTGATATTGGTTGCTCTGGCCCATTCTAGCATCTGCCAAGGTCCAAACTCTGTGGGTAAAAGTTGCCTTGTGATTTTCACAGGTCCTAGGCAGGCACTTTTATCTTGTGGGGACCCTTTATCCACAAAGAAATATTAAGGTAGGTTTACAGTTGTGTTGATGTAAAGACAAATATAATCTGGGCTGGTTTATTTTATCTGTCATTAATATTACACTCATATTTTTCTTCTGATTTGTCTTAAGACAAAACATTTTCATGCGTCCCTGAGAGCACTGTGGGCCCTTGGCATTGTGACTTCCATCCTGATAGGTGACTCAGCTTTGTGAGAGGCAGATGTTCTTTTTTTTTTTTTTTTTTAAAGAGAGAGTGAGAGAGGGGGAGAGAGAGAGAGAGAGAGAGAGAGAGAGAGAGAGAGAGAGAGAGNTTTTAATATTTATTTATTTATTTTTTTTTAGTTCTCGGCCGACACAACATCTTTGTTGGTATGTGGTGCTGAGGATCGAACCCGGGCCGCACGCATGCCAGGCGAGCGCRCTACCGCTTGAGCCACATCCCCAGCCMGAGGCAGATGTTCTTGAGTTCTGTTTTACATGAACTTGAGATGTGCCAGAGAGAAAAAAGGGGCACAGATGGATAAAAGAAAAGTAACCCTCTTTTATGTGTCTGTGGTGAATCATTTCTCACTTTAGCACATGATGCTTCCTTACCTATCTTGAGCAAATGCTTTCAGCTCACTTTTAGGCCTACTCTTTTTCAGAGAATATCCTTAGAAGCATGGATCTGTTAGAGCTTGATGAAGCTTCAACCTTCCTCAGAAGTGAAGCTGACTTGCTTCTGCTSCAGACCATGACCTTGGTAAGACTCATGATGTCTGTTGGCTTCACTCATTTTACTACTTCAAGGTGGTAACTATGATATTTGATTGATTGAGAGGAGCCATCAGTTCTGGAGCCAAACTTATTGCTTGGGGTTGAGTCAGCCTCTATGAATCTCTGACTCTGAGCAATGAAGAGCTCAGAGTGTCCACACTAGGAATGAAAGACAGCTGGGAGGTGGCCCAGGCCCTACTCACTTGGCCTTCAGACAGTTGTATTTTTTTCAGAAGCCACTATTACAACATGTATGACCCAGGAGAGGACCACCAATAAAGACATTGTTAGAAGACTTAGTTGTAGGTGAATAAATGCCTTAGGAGAGAGAGACTAGACAGTGACTTAACCTAGAGGTAGGGGCCGACACTAAAGGAAAGGTAATTCACTTACTGCAATTCATAATTTTTTGGTCCGTTTATACAAGAACAAAGGCTAATAAGGTTAGTCTCAAGAAAAAGGCCAAGTTCTACACTAAAATCTCTAAATACATGTTACCTTTTATCTCCTTTCCCTTTACATGTCTGGGCTACATAGCCATCCTCCAAGTTTCAGCTAATTGGAGATTAAGAAATCAGATTCACARTGTGGTCTAGAATCAGGTCACATATGTGTTTTAATTCCAAAGTCATTTAACAGTGTACCATAAAAAGTGAATTTTGTTCTAGTATCCAGAATTAGTTAACATTAGACTTTAGTAATATCAATTATAACTCAAGCTAGTTATTTAAGACATTATATTTCCATCATATCAATCAGACTTGGATCAGTTCCCAGTGTCCAGTCATTGGATTTCATTACTGTGATTAAATTTCAAAGTACCTAATTATAATCCATCAAGTCAAATACAGTAATAGAAGCATTCCTGAAGTCTGGCTGTTTATACACAAGTTTATCACAGGTAGTTAGACATTTAAGGACAAGACAATAGTGGTGGCAGGAAGAAAATCAAAATTGAACCAAAATATTAGAGATGATTGGATGATTCATTTAGTAGAATCAGCATTGTAAATAGTTACTCAAAATATACCAGTCAACATCATTTTTAATTTTTTTGAACAATCCTTCTAATTTTATTCAATACCATAGAAAGAGACTCATAAAAAAATATTCAGAGAGAGATAATAGCAGTTACTTCTGAGTTGTTTGTGGGTGGATTATTAAATTCTTTATACATTTCTCTTTACGTTTTCTCCAATAAATGATGTCATCTTTATATTGTGCAAGATATTTAATCATCTAAATCTATGAAATCATGTAAGCAAAAATTTCACTTTACATATGAGAAAATCAAGTCTCTAAGAGATGAGATGATTGCTTTATATATCATAAGTAGGAAAGTCAGTAGTAAAATTCATGTTGCCTGATTCAAATACATTGCAGTTTGCATTTCCAGCTCTGCATTGTTTATAATCTTAAGGAATTAAAAGTTGACAGATTTCATGTACTTCATTTTTTAAAATATCCCTGCAAGGGCCTGAACTTCACATAGGAAAGGTTTTCCAAAAACTACTTTCTCCTACTGTTTCTGGAGGTAATGAAATAGAGTGCATCATGGGGCAAGTGTGAACCTACTGATTGAGATAAAAAATTGGAGGTAGAAAAGCTAAGCATTCGCTAAAGAAAGTATGCTATAATGGAGGAGCACTGATTTAGGAGGTGGGTGATCTAATTTATAGAATCATTGTTTTATTGACTGTCACTAATTGGCTATGTAACTATGGTATTATGCACATCTCTCTCTTCCTGGATTATTTACTAAGAAAATGGGGGAGAAGAGACACTTTTCAAGGTTATCTTCAAATTTCTTTCAATTGATGATATTTGTTTTGAAATGCACAGCATTTACTTGAAGCATACACATACAAAATATATGCTAAATGGGAATTTTTAAAAAACAAGCATATTTTTGTAAACACAACACAAAGCAAAATCAGTGTTTGCATAAATGGACCAAAATATTAAATGCAAAGCAAACCCCATATTTAAAAGACAAACAATAAATGGAAAACCAGTATATAATGGGTTAGATGGAAATATAAAATATTCTTACCAAGAAGCTTTAGTGGCAGATTGTTTGTAATCAAGGAAACAGAAGGAAGGACATCATAGATTATAATAACAAGTATTGAGCAACAGACCTCCTTTGGAGACCTCACTTGTCTTTAAGGTGCTCATCCACTTATCATCAAAGATTTAATGAAGACCATGGACCAAAATTTTGTTTAGCAGTAACCAGACCTTTCTGAGTGAAGATTTTTAAGGGGAACTGAGGAAATTTTACAAGGACCAAGGTAATGGCCTAGGGCATGGAGTTATTAGTGGAGATAGGTTATGGGGTTTGGAAAAGTAGGTAAGTATTCGCTGGTATAGTAGGTAACATTCTTGCAACAAAGTGTTCTATGGTGCTGTGTTGTACACACAACACAAAACAAAATCATTGTTTGCATAAATGGATCAGAATATTAAATGCAAAGCAAACCCAGTATTTAAAAGACAAACAACAAATGGAAAGCCAGAGGGCAATGAGTTAGATGGAAATATAAACCTCTGCTTGCTGAGACATTGTTTTTTCCTATAGAATCATCATGTGAGTGTATTTTCAGGATATGCATTTTCAGGATACGATTTTATATGACTTTTACAATTTTATATATTTTGATGGCTCCAAGTCAATAAGCAGATTTACTAGAAATGAGATCATGTCAATCAATATGAACATACCCAGTGGATATTTCTACAAGTAGTATAACAGTAGTATATTTGTTGTTGTTTTCTCTTCAGGGAAGAAGAAATATTGGGTTTGTGATGGGAAGAATTCATATATTGAGGCTATGGTTAAAGGGAGTGAAGATGATGGAAAAATAATTGTTGAGACTAGAGAGGGAAAGGTAAAAGAACATCAAATTCATCTTGGTAATGTTCTCTATTTAATCAGTCATTAAACATTTCCTTTCTCTAATATTTTCATTAAAAACCTGGGGTAGGAGATGGCACTGATACCAGTCAGAGATCGCACTTGTCTTTAAAGTACTCCTCTACTTACCATCAAAGATTCAATGAACACAATTTAATAAATAAAACAGTTGCCATGGCAAACATCATAGGATCTGAAATTCATGTCCTTTTCTACATCAATGGTTCAAGGTCTTTTTTTTTTTAAGATTGACCTTGGAGTAAATAATGACCTAATAGATCTATTAACCAAGTTATGTTTGTTGGATAAAGGAAGAGGTATATAATCTGAATAAAAATAGCACAGTGTCAGAGAGCCAAGAGATGGGGGAAATGGCCAATTATGTCAAAGGCTAGAGAAAGACATTGAAGGCTTGAAGAAAGATTGTAATCCCATCCAATCAGGAGGGAGACTGAGACAAGAGGATTGTGTGTTCAAAGCCAGATTCAACAAAAGTGAGGCACTAATGTTGGGGTTTAAGTGTGCAGAGTTTAGCTCCCTCAGCCTGACACTTTGCAAGAAGCTGTGGCTGTGATTTAGGTCAGCTGAAGGCATGCCTCGCTAGGAG